ATTTAAAGTAGAGGAAAAAGAGCAAGCTGTTCAGAGCATAAAGCAGATAGTTGTAGAGCATAAAGTATATGTAAAACATACGTGGAGCAAAAGTTGTACCTGAAAAGGTGATATGGGACGAAACTGAGCCTGAAGAGTTTTTTAAACCCCCAAGAGAAGCCCGATCTTAGGGAGGTTTTTAGCATGAGAGTAATAGCAGCCCATCTCTTAGAAACATAATGCTGACAGCTGAGTGAAAGGAAAGTGAAAATGGAGAGAAACTGAAGATGGGAAATTATTCAGGGGGTTTCTGCCATGGTCCCTGTGAATGAGGATATATTTCTGGACTAAAGCGACAGTGATGAGGGAGAAAAAAATATATGGATGGAACATTTTTTTTGAAAGTTGATAACAACAAGATCCTACTGTATAGCACAGAGAACTATATTCAATATCCTGTGATAAACCATAATGAAAAGCATATAAAAAAGAAAGTCTGTAACTGAATCACTTTACTGTACAGCAGAAATTAACAAAACATTGTAAGTCAGCTATACTTAAAAAAAATAGTTGTCATGCCTTGAAACGTCTGTTATGCATTTGAAACATACAAATATTAAAGAAGTAGAATAAAGCTGGCCAGTTTGATGTGAGATGTAGGAAAGAAGGAATAGCCCAGTGTGACTCAGAGGTTCTTGTCTAAGGCAGCCAAGTAGCTAATGATTCTGTATGCTTGGAAAGAGAAAGCTTGGGACAGACAGGATGTAGTTGGAAGCATTGGGAATGAGGTAGGAATCCGTGGAGGATGATAGTAAAATTCTTCATTAATTCTCATCTCTAATGCATAATGCAAATGGCAAAGGAGACTATGCAAAACCTCTGTGAAATAAGTCAGTCTATAGAGCTTCCTAGTTACATGATTTCCAGAAGGGAATTTTCAGTTAGAGAGAAACACAGTTGTTCAGGAAGAAATAAAACAATGCTGAAAGAACTCATGCAGTGAATTTGGTAATGGAGAAAACAGTCTCAAATAATATATCTTTTTTTTTTTTTTTTTTTTTTTTTT